ACCGACCCCCCACTCCCTTACAGGAGGCTTTTTTGTGAATCCTGAACCATGAGCCTCCAATTCTCCCGCGTTACTACCGCCCTCCCACTTTACAAGGTCTTCCAGTATTCCGGCATCCAACGGACCGGCACCCCTCCAGTATCCCGGCGACCCTCGCGCTCTCCGTGGCCAAGACGTTCAGCGCGCACTCAGTGCCGAGACACCCGGAGGACCAGTCTAGCGCCCCCGAGCGGCTGGGAGGAGCAGCGACGCCTCCCTTGCCCCCTTGTCTGGATGTGTTAGTGTGGTGGAGGAATGTCTGTGTTGGTGAGAATTTCTGGAGAAGGGTACTGACCTGAAACGTCAGCTTTCCTGCCCTTCTAATGCTGCCTGACCTGCTGCATTCTTCCAACTCCACACTATCTTGTCTCAGACTCCAGCAGCTACAGTTCTTGCTGTCTCTGTGTTAGTGAGAGAGTGTGTTTGAATATATTCACTTATGGGACGTTGCCATCTCTGGGTGTTCCAGTCTACTGCTCCATCCCTAGTTGCCCCTTGAGAAGGTGGGGTTGAGCTGCCTTCTTAAACCATTGCAGTCCATGTGCTGTGGGTTGGCCCAGACACTCACATACGCCGTGTTCCTTTGGAGAGAAAGCAGAGCTAATGTTTCAGGTTAAGTGAGCCTTCCTCAGGATTAACTCCTCTTTCTCTCCACAGATGCTGCCAGACCTGCTGAACGTTTCCAGCAATTTCTGTTTCTGATTTACAACATCTGCAGTTCTTTTGATTTTTATTTAGTATTTTGCCCAAAGGGAGGGGATTCCATGACACCGAAGGAACACGGTGTACGTGAGTGTACATGTCTCTATTATCTGTATCAGCAAGTGTTTGTGTGGGTATGTTATGAATGAGTGTGTTTAAGTCTGCGCACATCTGCAGCTGGAGGTCACCAGAGGGACAGAGATTGAACCCAATCAGGAAAAGGACCTGGGATAACAAGGTGTAGAGCTGGATGAACACAGCAGACCAAGCAGCATCAGAGGAGCAGGAAGGCTGACGTTTCGGGCCTAGACCCTTCTTCAGAAAATGTCGGAAAAGAACCAGTTTCTCCCTCATTGACTGAATCCACCAAACCTACCTGATTCCGAACACCTCAATTCAATCTCCCCCGAACCTTCCCTGCTCTGAGGACAACGATCCCAGGGTCTTCACTCTCTCTTGCTCTCCACATTCACTGAAGACCTTGTTATCCGTATACCTGGAGGCATCCCCTGGGTCCCATTAAACACTCTATAATGACAATAATTCCTGATGATCAAGGGGATGAAAGATTCTCGTGGGGGATGGAGGAGTGGATTTACAGGCATTCACAGACATGCAGCTGAACTCCATTTGGGACTTCCTTTCCTTCTCCCCTCTTTCTGTTTTCTTATCATTATTTACACTAGTCCCAGCTGTATTCCTAAGCATTTTGAGGCCTGCTATTCACCTCCAACGTTCTCTCTTGGATCCTACTTTTCATTGCCCTCTGAAATGGCAAAGCGAGACACTTGGTGCATATTTAACAACAGCTGCGGAATAAATACTGTCCCAGCCAGTGACACCCACAGCTCGGGTGGTGTGTGGGACTGTGACCCCACTCCAATTGTTTTGAAGACAGCCACATTTGGACTTCTTTTACAGGAAATGAAGGAAGCCTGGAAAATGACCTCTCCCCAGCAATTCCTCTCTTCTGGCTCAGCCACTGTGTCTCTGCTCTCTCCCTACTCCTTGGAAATGAGCTGGGCCACATTGGTCTGGAGTCAGTGGGGAAACATTTAGGAGACAATGATCATTGTACCATCAGGCTCAGGATGGTGCTAGAGAATGACATGCAACAATCCAGAGAAAGAAACACCGGTTAGCGGAGAGCTAACTTCAATGGGGCAGGAACACAGCAGGATTGACTGGACTAAGAGGTTGGCAGGAAGATCGGTAACTGAACAGTAGGCCACCTTCAAAGAGCAGATGGCTTTGGGTCTGGAGTCACATGTAGGCCAGACCAGGGAAGGATGTCAGATTTCCCTCCCTGAAGGACATTAGTGTCCCAGGTGGGCTTCTATTAAACTAGCTTTTAATTCCAGCTTTGTTCATCCAATTGAAATGTCACCGTCTGCTGTGGTGAGATTCAAACTGGTGTCCACAGGCCATTAGCCTGGGCCTCTGGATTACAGGCCCAGTGATATTACCATGACACTGCCACCTCCCAGAAGTCCAGCGCTCGATGGCAAGATGTCTGTTGGTGTTGTTGGAGGAAGGGGGATGCCAATAATCTGGGCTCGGAGCGGTGTCACACTGTAATTACACCTTCCCTGCAATAGTGACACGGTAGCAGCACCACTGGTTGGTGGTAATTGCAGTGTAACGTTTACATAGACAGTCTCCATTGACTGTGGGCTTCATAGTTTGATTCTACCATTAGAAAAGGATGTTAAAAGCTGTCTTAAACCCTCTGAGCGAAGGTAAGCTCAGTTCCCTGAACGCAATAGCCCCTACTGCTCACCTCATTGCTCTCTGATACACCCTAGGGCATTTAGTCTTAAAGGCGCTAGAGAATTTTCACTTGTATCTAACAGAGGGTTTTGAATCAGTCTCAGTAACACATTCCTTTCAGTATCTTTAACCAGATTCCATTTCACTATCTGTATTCACGCTGGATATTCTAACACTCTCTCAATGACCTGCTCCTTGAATATATTCACTAGATAAAGGATCTGGTTCAGCATCGATGGTCAGATTCTCCAGCTCTACGACTTATGCCATGGTTAAAAAACAGCGTCTCATTGATGTTACTAGAAAGAATCACTACAAAGTCAACAACAGTTCTGACAAAATATGGAAACCTTTACCTGTTGAGAAGATATCAGAAGATGCTGAAGCACAGGTTGGAAAGAGAAGGAAATGTGTTGTAACAACTGCAAACTGTGAGCATTTTGTCAACGAGATTCGATGTGGAAAATGTGTATCCTATCAGGTGATAGATTCCATGATTCCCCAGGTAATCACATAGTGCGGATCTATTGTATCCTTCTTCTCCCAATCTGAGATCTCGCCAAGTGTGTGAGACACTGATACAAGGTGGTGAAAATGTTTTTACAGCCTGTGGGAACTGTGAATTAGGATCTTCCTGTGCCTGGTCCCATAACAAGGGCAGCATTTGTCCTGCCTCTTCATTTAGCAGATTGTAGGTTGTAACTGGGAGCTGGAAGAAGAAACAAAGTCAATGGAGCAGCTGAGAGGTCCCCACAGCTCATGGACAATCCTCCATCTCCTGCTGGACAACGCGAAACCCAAAGGGAGGGAGCAGATGAGAAACAGTGGAGAGAGTCACACCTACAACTCCTGAGCCCTGTGGAGGAGACAGTGCTCTCCATCACTCAGCCAGCTGTGATAGAAACTCTGCCATCGCTGAGAACATTGAGAACGAGATGTTCCTGCCTTAAACCTCCCCTCAGCTTCCAGGGCAGGTCGTCCTGCCAGAACATCCATTGTGTCAGCCAGTGAAAGGCAGCTGCTTCCAGCAGCCATGCTATACTCTGTGGGCAGGAGTATTAGGACAGGTAAAGGCCCCCACAGCACAGGCGCTAAGGGAATGCACAAAGGTGAAGAGTTTATCATTGTCTGTGTGAATGGATGTGATTTTGGATAAAGATGTTGTGAAAGGTTATGGTTGATGTTTTTATTCCAGGACCTTGGTAGGTGGTTTGGGATAAAACATCCCATATGGATAGGGATATGGGGAATGGTGAGTGGGTCCTGGGTATTCCAGAGAATGGGAATGGAGACTGGGGCACTGGTTAACCAGATGGAGATGGGGAAGGTCACTAGGATTTATGCCCTCAGCTACCGGGCAGAGGGTAGAAAGCTGGGATCCCAGAGTCACTGGAAAAAGCTTCAGTGTTTCTGTCTCTCATTAATACAATCTCACCCCACAGGTCCTTCATACATTCATACTGCTGTTGTTGCTTTTGAAGCTGCTTATGTCGCATTTTGGAAATCTTGATCATTTGAAGGGTGATTAATAAATCACTGTCTAAATATCTGTGTATATCAGAGATAGCAGGAACTGCAGATGCTGGAGAATCTGAGATAACAAGATGTAGGGCTGGATGAACACAGCAGGCCAAGCAGCATCAGAGGAGCAGAAAGGCTGACGTTTCGGG